AGTGCTAGTCCTAGTACTACTGCGCAGTACGGAGCACGTTGTGGCCATCCCTGAAGGGTCCACCGACCAAATCGAGATGCAGGGAAATTGGCCTAAGAATTCTTTCTGCCGGTCAAGCCGGATCACATTATCTCTGGGCACGACGGAAAGAAATCATGTACGTGAATGTTCGGAGTCTAGCTGAAACACGCGAAACCTGGTGGGCCCGTCCATACTTGCATGCCCATGGATCATGGATTTCCGTACTACATTACTACATATGGCAATGCTAGTCCCCCTCTTCTGTAACCAAGTTGGAAATTTCGTGCATAGAGGCTGAACTTCACCTTTGAGGACCAGGTCTTGTGATCCGCAAGAACGGTTGCTGCCAGACCCCCATGAGATTGCAATTCTGAGAGAACGGCAAGCAGAGGCAGGCATACTATACCAAATAGGACATACGATAGCCTGAGGAATGTATTATGCTTTGTAGAAATGTGTTTTACCCACCTTTTGTGCGATATCGGAACCTTTGTGCTGATGTTGAGGTGCTTGGAGTACAGGCAGGTTTAATCGAACGGATCCACATGATAAGATTGATTGTTCTTGGAATCTTTTCCTTTTCGAGGCTGAACCTACTGGGGTGGATATCGTAATCAGAACATGAAAGGGAAAACCAAGAAAGCCACAAGGAGGAGGCCCGTAGGGTGTACAGAGATGGATGGAGAATGAATAGGAACACATTCTTGTTTTAATTTATTGATTTCTCTTTGTTTGATTTCGGATTGAAAGATGTGAGCTACTGGTACTGTTCAAAGGGCAGTTGAGTTGTATTGACAGGACAGGGTTGACGTGTGCACGGGACCAGGAGAAGGTTAAGGTACTATTTGGCATGGATACGAGTTTTGTTGTCAGATATTTTTCAAGCCAGTGAAGTATTCCGCGACCAATGACTTTCGATTGCCCAATTGAAGAAGACAAAGTGTATTATGCACTACGTGGTACAGTGTGGGTGGGCCATGTAGGAGAAGGGAAGTTCCCTGATACTAGTACTAGCGGTGATGATGTCTGGTCTCGGGTGCTATATGAGGAAATGAAATTTGGAGGAGCCCTTCGAGGCTACTGTATGGAACTCTGGTCGGGATAATAAAATGGACACTCGGTACGGACAAACGGGAGTAACCCACACGGCTGCCTGATAAGGACCGCTGGTACACCAAAGCCCACTATCGTCAACCTCATCCATCATGATACTCCGGATGTAGAAGAGAGCAGGGATTGACTAGGAGAAACTCGGGTGGTGCAAGAGTCGGTGAGGAAGAAAACAGGGAGGGGGACGATTCGAAATCCGGCAAGCATTTTGCCCAACTGCTGATTGCAAGTTGCAAAAATTCTTTCATGGGTTGAGGACAAAAGGAGTTCTAGTATGTAGAGTACCGTGTACATTATATCCTGGAGATAGATTTTGGATGGAGGAGTGCACCAGAGTGGGGAAATTAATCTGCTGATCCGTACTTGGCCGTTACCATTCTTACCATAATGCACAACTAAGCTAGGTACCGCTAAACTCTTTTCCGTAAGGCGCGTGGGCCTCAGGCCGAACAATCAGGCCCGTCCAACCATGAGCGACGGAACGAGGTGTCCACTTTGCTCACACCAGCCAATCCAGAACTGGACCCGGTCATTTTTGCCTCGCAATGTGTAAAAAAGTTACTTACCACTAGGGAATCTGATCGGAAGCCCTCTTGTGGTTCTTATATATGCTCCTCCCTGCTCCTTCTTCTTGTTCTCCTATCCAGCTTGTCTTCCCTCCTCGTTCTCTTCTTCTACTTCTTGTTTTCCACCGTTTTCCTTATACCTTAATAAACAAATCTTCCTCTCACTCTTTCGTTGTTTACTTCGATCTTCAATTCTACCCCCCCCCCTTTTACACCGCCACTATGTCTGCTCGTCCCCAGAACATTGGTGTCAAGGCCATTGAGGTCTATTTCCCTAAGCAAGTATGTGCATTGACCCGTCAGCGGGGTTATATCAAGAGAGAACGAAAAGAAGAAGAAGAACATTTGCTAACAAGCTACGCAGTGTGTCGAACAAACCGAGCTGGAGAAGTTCGACGGTGTCAGTGAGGGCAAGTACACAATCGGCCTGGGACAGACAAAAATGAGCTTCTGTGATGACCGTGAGGGTATGTTGACCTTGTTATCTTGTGAATCTTTTTCATTTGTTCCCCCTCGCTAAGTATAAATAGATATTTACTCTGTCGCCCTGACCACCCTCTCCTCCCTCTTCCGCAAATACAACGTCGACCCCAAGTCCGTTGGTCGTCTCGAAGTCGGTACTGAGACTCTCCTGGACAAGTCCAAGTCCGTCAAGTCCGTTCTGATGCAGCTCTTTGCCGAGAGTGGAAACTTTAACGTTGAAGGTGTTGACAACGTCAACGCTTGCTACGGAGGTACCAACGCCGTATTCAACAGCATCAACTGGCTCGAGTCTTCCGCCTGGGATGGAAGAGATGCCGTTGTTGTGTGTGGTGATATTGCCCTGTATGCCGAGGGAGCTGCTCGCCCTACTGGTGGTGCTGGCTGTGTTGCCATGCTCATTGGTCCCGATGCTCCTATTGTTTTTGAGCCCGGTCTTCGCGGCTCTTATGTCACCCACACCTACGATTTCTACAAGCCTGATCTCACCAGCGAATACCCTGTCGTTGATGGTCAGCATTCCCTTCAGTGCTACACTGAGGCTGTTGATGCTTGCTACAAGACCTACGCCGCTCGTGAGAAGACGCTGAAGGAGAAGACTCAGAACGGAACCAACGGCGTGGCCCATGACGAATCCAAGACTCCTTTGGACCGCTTTGACTACATCCTGTTCCACTCCCCTACCTGCAAGTTGGTCCAGAAGTCGTACGGCCGTATGCTTTATAACGATTTCCTCGAGAACCCCACCCACCCCGCTTTCGCTGAAGTCGCCCCTGAGCTGCGCGATCTGGACTACAGCAAGTCTCTCACTGACAAGAACGTCGAGAAGACTTTCATGGGTCTGACCAAGAAGCGTTTCGCTGAGCGTGTGAGGCCCAGCCTTGACGTTGCCACTCTTTGTGGTAACATGTACACCGCCACCGTCTACGCCGGCCTGGCCAGCTTGCTCAGCAATGTCACCTTTGACCCCAGTCAGCCTAAGCGCATTGGACTTTTCTCCTACGGCAGTGGTCTTGCTGCTTCCATGTTCAGCGCGAAGATTGTTGGTGACGTGTCTTACATGGCTGAGAAGCTCGACCTCCACAACCGCCTCAACGCTAGGAATGTCTTGGCTCCTCAAGCCTATGTTGAGGTAAGCGATAGTTCCCCTTGAACTCCTTTCCATCTTGATATTTTGTGATTCGACTTGACTAACCTTTATATTTCTAGATGTGTGCCCTGCGTAAGCAAGCTCACCTGAAGAAGAACTTCAAGCCCTCCGGTAACACGGAGACGCTCTTCCCCCACACCTACTACCTCACTGAGGTGGACGATATGTTCCGCCGCAAGTATGAGGTCAAGGCATGAATAATGGCTAGCGCTTGATGTTAATTTGGACATGATGAGTTTCTTTTTCTGCCTTTTTTAGATGATTCATTAGATTCCCCTCAGGACCGCATTGTCGTGTTTGGTTGCCTTGATAGAGTTCGGAAACTGGGTTATGCCTACAAACTGTCTCAGTCGATTCTATTCCTTTGTCTCTCTTGCACTGGGTTCTCAGGAGGAGCCCAGAAAGGAAAATATTTTCTTGTTTTTAGGAACTGGCATGATGCTGATGTTCTTTCCTCCCCAAGATGGCGCTGGAATGTTTCGGATTTATGAGAAGATCTTATTTATTAATTAAACATATTAATCAATTTCTCTGACATATGATTTACTATTACCATGATTTTCAATGTACTTGTACGGAGTACTACCAGTAGATGTGGTTCTAATCTAATCTATTTGACACGATTTGGATGATATGCTTAGTCATGTCTAAACGGACGGTATTTTACATCAACATCATTTCCAAGTACTAACTGACCTTCTATGACTTCCTATAGATTCTTCACAGCCCTATCTACATTGACAATGTTAATGAGGATAAAGATAGAAACTATTGCAACCCTGCATAGAACGTGAAACGAACGATATGTCAAGAATAGAACCATCTCGAGAAATCAACGTATGATAGCTCTTTGCACTCTTTCGCGCCAGACGCTTCCTGCAGTATCATCCTTCATCATTCCTTCTTTTCTCCTTGTTTTATGCGACTGTCCCTTCTCGTCATCCAATCCAATGATTTCATCCAAGTTAATTTTTGAGGACTCAGGATTATTTGTCCGTTTCATGAAAGCCAAGAACGATGCAGGTGATCGAGGGGAAAGAACCACTCAGGGAGCCTGGCGCCAAACTGGAGGGGAGTCGGCGCCTACTGCAACAAACTCCATTGCTCCGACTCAAGTTTGTCCAAAGAGAGTATTCTTAGAATGACTCGGACCATCAAACTATCGTACCGACTTCTTGGGTCTCTGGGACAGCATCGACAACCTTGATTGGTCTGGCCCGGCGGTTCTTGCTGCTGTTCCATCCATCTCCTGCAGGTCCTGCTATCAACCCTCGGCGCTTGGAGTTGTGACGGTGCCTCGAGGACCAGTGTTCATCAAGATATGCCAATAGTTCGCTTTGTGCTTGCCGCCGACTAATGGATCTACTACGCGAGGTGCTCTTGGGGAGAATCGGGACTAAATTAGCTATGATTATCCAGAAATAGCACGAAACACAAGTGTTGCTGATTATAGAAGCTTTTACGGGTCATGACGAACCATTCCCAGTATGGGATCAGTGAAGATCTCCATCAGATCTGATGAAATCGAGCAGATGCAATTTTTAGCAACAAATTGACGCGCGACTGTTAGATGAAACAGCGTCTGCCTGCTCCATTAGCTCTAAGCTCGTTTGTTTCGCGCATCATCCAAAGAGATGCCGACAATTCAGGTGTCCATTGCCTCACCATCACCAATGTGGGCAATGGCTCACGATGACTAGCTAGTTTGGCGTCAGTATGGAGATTTCTCCATGTTTCATATGCTGCTATTCTGGTCGTGTTTGTCGGTTACTTTTTTTAATTCAGACCGTATGAGCCTCTGATCGAAGAACATTTATATCCAAACATCTGCCTCCCAAGTGTACAAGAGCTTATCATAACCACTCGTACAGACTATGACTCGAGTGTAATACCTTGTCTTTGAACAATCATCTTTCAACTTCATTTAGTTTCTTTTGAATATTCATTGGCGAAGATCGCTCCCTGATTCCTTCTGGAAGCTGGACTTTCCAATTCTCTGCAGCACCGATTACAATCGAACCGTTGCTGCTACACAGCTCGACTCAATGACCATGGAATACTCATACTATCAGCCAACCACTCCGCCAGGGCTACCATATGAGGGAATCGTTCGAATGACCCACAGTCGCAATGCATCCGACTCATCTATGTACTCCAATGATTCCTCGCCTTGGTCTGCAGTCACCTCAGTCACCAGCCCGAGCACTGATTCTCCCCCCCGTTATCATCATGGGCCAGCCCTTCTTCCCAAAATTAGGGATCAGGATGTGGTCATTGAACCAGCCCCAGCTAGTGGACCGCAGCGTCATCGGAAAGTGCTATCGAACACTAGGAATCCGCCTGGTTTCTTACCATACCCTGCCAATCGTGCAGCAGCTCAACGTCATAGTACGGAGTGCGTGGACTACTATACTGTGGCATCCCCAGTCTCGCCCATGTACGCTGATTCAGCATTGGCGTCTCCTGTGAGCATAACGTCTTCGCACAAGCGCAAAGTGCCCAGTGCACATTCTCGATCATGCTCTGCATCCAGTGTTGATGAGGCAACCTTGGCCCGATATGGCTATTCCACTTACAGGCAGCTCTCTAAGTACTCTGGACAATCACAAGGGTCCCCTACCGCACCCGCCACCCCAGTCACGCCTAATATCATTGTATATCCACCGTACTCGCAGCCTTCTATTGTTGGCCCTTTCTCGCGCACATCTCGAGCCCGAACCCAGGCCCCGCCGGTGCTTCCAGTTTCCCCTTACAGCTATTCCCAAGTGTCGAGTGCTCAGTGCTCACCAGTTGGCTTTTCCCACAGTGTTGATAGAATAAGCCCATCATCTACAACTCTTTTTTCATACCTGACTGGGCCAACACAAGCAATCAATCTGGTTCGGAATGTAAGCGTCATTCCAACACGAGGGATGCATGACTACTTCTGGTGGGATATCCGTAACTTGCGCAGCTGGTCCTCTTTTTCTCTGTCCACATTCCACTCGATCAACGGTCTCACGAAGCTTCTGAAGACGGCAATTCCGTCACATCTAACCCCACCAACCGTGGTCTCAGGTTCACGCTTGTGTCCTGATTCTGAATTCACCTTGGTGGACCTCGTCCAAGATATATATGCACCACGAGTGAATGCCGCTTTGGCCGTGTCTCAAGGCCCAGATCACCTGGCGCTCTATGCTACGCCTGTCCCACGGATCCATGCCAACAGGAACTATGGCGGTCCGCATTTCCTTGCAAATTACACCTCAGACACGGAGCGGACGAGCTCGGGTCTGCCCCGTGGACGGCTGGTAGGAATCGTCAAAACTTTCGACCGATGGAACACCAGTATGCGCACCGAAGCACCTCATCGGCGGGTTGAGTATTTAAACGGTCTAGCGCACCTTCAGCGGTGTATGCGCGAACATTCCTGCCGATACGGCTTCATCATTACAGAGATCGAGCTTGTCTGCGTGCGGGCGGGGTGCGACGAGGGTGACGACGTGCCTTACTTTGGCTTCCTCGAGGTTTCAGCTCCTATACCCACTAAGCTTGCGGCGAGTCCAGACGAAGGCCACTTGAAACCTTGCCCAGTCCCTTACGGCCACCCTCAATCGCCCACGCCGTCCAGCGACAGTTCATTGGCCAGCCAATCTCCTATCTTAGACGCATATTCTTCACCAGCCCCAGAGGAGCTTGATGTACCGATGACGGCAAGCCTCGCTTTATACTTCCTCCTAATGCTTTCTAAATCCGTGCCTTTGCCGTCCCAGCCGTCATCTCACCTGAATGTTGGCGGACCCGGAGCCTTAACTCGGCAGCGTATACTCCCAGAAGGGAAAGACAAATGGATTCCAGAGCCACAAATTGGAGAAAAGCGAGATGCCAAACGAGTAAGAGGCTGGATCTGGCCACATGATGCCTGGCATCGGCGTGAAGGAGGTGGAGTACCACGTTCGCGAGCGACTGGTGTGGAAGGCAAACCCAAAAAATGGCATAAATAACGGGATAAAAGTAAAGAAAACCGAAAGAAAAAAAAAGAGAGAGAGAAAATAAAGAGGAAGCTGGAACATTCCTCATAATTCTAATGTTACTCTCTGATGTTGAGTATTTTGTTGTCATAGTAATCTAATCAACCAATTTGGTTTCAGAATAGACGAAGTATGTACATACAAGAGTAGTTTTGTAACTACGATCAGCTCATCCTCACGACTTGAACCCCCCTCAGAGATACTGTGCACTCTCCTGACATACTGCCTAATCCGTACTAATCAAGCATACTGCTATCAATAAAAGTTTTCTCGAGAGCATCCTACCCCCCAAGGTACTCATGACGCAGATCATGGCCAAACCATTATGTTTGTTGCCATTCTTGGTTCTAAAGGACCTTGGGATCCAAGTACCCGGGAGGCCATCATTTACCGCCAGTAGATATATAGAAGCTGTACAGGAGTATTTCATGTATCTACTAGTTTAAAGAAAACTTTTGCTCTCCTTAGGACACCTGAATCTACGAATGACAACCCGAACAATGCTAAGAGACTAATAAATACCATAAGCGATGGTTTCCAAAGCATCCACACCGTCCTTGCCAGACCTCCTCGATGTAATCATCGTCGGCGCTGGACCCTGTGGACTCGCCGTTGCTGCCAGACTAAAAGAAGAAACACCGTCTGCGTTGTTCACAGACGACGAGCACCAGCGTTACCACTGGATCAACAAACATAGCGGCCGGATGGCGCTCGTACAGGCTCGCCACGGCAAGCAGAAAAAGGTCAAGGCAGAGAAATGGCACGGATACACCTCTCGGCAGTCCTTCTCATCTACACACTCAGAGTCTATAGCGGGGTCTCCACCTTCGCTATCCTCGTCCGCCTCGACTGCTTCAGTGGAGACGGAAGCCGGCCCAGTGGAGGATGATTCGCCCTCCATTCTTGTTTTGGATAGTACGGGCGATAAATGGATGGAGCGGTGGAATCGGGCGTTCAAGACGTTGGAGATTCAGCAGCTTCGCAGCCCCATGTTCTTCCATGTGGATCCGAGTGATCGGGATGGAATGTTGGCGTATACGCAGGAGGTGGGGAGGGATTGTGATCTTTGGGAGATATCGGGGTGTGTGGGGAAGGAGTTGAGCAAGCATAAGAAGAAGAAGAAAATGAGGTCGAGGGCTGTGTGAGTACCTTCCTTTTCTCTGGTGGTTGTCTTGGCCATAGAGCTGATGATGAATGGTGCTGTAGCGCTATAGGAGAGGTTGAGATCGACGAAAGGGACCGCAAAGACTATTTCTCGCCTTCTACGGGGCTTTTTGAAGACTACTGCTCGAGCATCATCGCACGCTACGACCTTAACACGCCAGGTATGATCCAACAACGTGAGGTCAATAATGTCCAGTATGACTACCATGACGAGATGTCGCCTTCCGAGAAGATTTTTACGGTCACGACAAGTGATGGCGCTGTGTTCTATAGTCGGACGGTTGTGTTAGCCATTGGGCCTGGAAGGACGAAGGTTTTCCCATTTAAGCTAACGGATGAAGAGGCAAACGGGGGTTGCCATAGTACGGAGATTCAATCATTTCCAAGTCCCAATGTGAAAAGAAAGATTCAGCAACGTCAGCAGACAAACTTGATGGTTGTTGGCGGAGGGCTCTCTTCAGCTCAGATAGTGGATATGGCTATCCGGAAGGGGGTGAGCAAGGTGTGGTTCCTGTTAAGGTCCGATTTCAAAGGTAAGTAATGGGATCAGATTTTCTCCTCGAAGTGGTTTAGTAACGGAGGGTATCAGTCAAACACTTCGATATCGACCTGACTTGGATGGGCAAATTCAAAAACTACGAAAAGGCAGCTTTCTGGTCCGCAGACACGGACGAAGAGCGCCTCGAGATGATCAAAACAGCTCGCAATGGAGGCAGCATTACACCACGGTACCAGAAAATCCTGAAGCAGCATGCAGCCCGCCACCGTGTCTCGATCCACTCTCGTACAGTCATCCTGAGCCGTGAGTACTGCCCCATGTCTCAGACATGGCGCCTCACCACTGATCCTCCAATTCCCGACCTCCCTCGCATCGACTACATCTATTTTGCAACAGGTATGCAGGCGGATGTGAATGAACTTCCACTGCTTCAGCAGATGAACCGTGAATATCCGATTGGGACCAAACAGGGTCTGCCGTGCATCACGGATGATCTCATGTGGAAGGCGGATTTGCCTTTGTTTGTAACTGGACGGCTGGCTGCCCTCCGCCTAGGTCCGGGAGCCCCTAATCTTGAAGGAGCGAGGCTGGGGGCAGAGAGAATTGCGTGGGGGATGGAGGAGGTGCTGGGGCGGAGGGAGAGCGAGGATACACCTGCTGAACGATCGAAAGAGTGTTTCTGTGGCTTGGGAAATCGATATGCTGGGCTAGCTGATGTGGATTGGTAATTTGATTTTGCGGCTGATTACCCCAGGCAGCATTTAAACTTCTGATTATGTAGAGCCTCATATATGAGCCTCGCTGTATAGGGTCGTAGTAGTACGAGCATTGCATGACAGGTTTACGAAGTATATGAAGCCATTGGTGATGAAGCCGTTCGTGTACCGTACCACTTCATACCTGTATTACATACACGTAGAGAAGACTTTCTGCGGTCTCCGGTGGAAACCACTGTACCATATGGTGTATTAGAAAATACAATACCTGAAATAGTATCTATTTAACGATGTTGCCTAAGTCGACATAATACCATCGATCACCAACAGTCACTGTAGCCTTCTCTTCTTCATCTACGAACCTTCTTCATCCACATGGCTCTTCCAGGCAACCAAGCTTTCTCAGCATTCTAAGCCACAGCTTGATCATCCAGACGTCAGATGGATTCAGCTTCAGACGACTAGCAAGCTGCCATCGACATGCGCGCTTGGTACTAGTAATGCTCCAGCGAACAGCGCCTACGCGGCGCTTTCCTCTCTCTATCAGTCCGCCACGCGTTCTCTGATACTAGCTGATTTGCCTCAATCACATGCGGCACATGAATCAACAGTGCCACATGGTTGCAACCTTGCGAGCGGAAAACGCCGTGGTGATGGTGACAGTTATTAGCCAGGAAGAAATCATCTTCCGTGAATAGCCCGCACCGCCACAAACCACCAGCCACATATGTGGCGAGTTCATTTACCGTTGCTTATTCGGCGAGAAACACCTCTGATTGGTATGTGGGGCATTGTTATGCAGAGGCAATTACCTAGCCCTTAGTACTTACTCTAATTTACTAACTCCGGAGTATGCAGTCCGGTCACGGATGATGGAGACAATCCCGCAAATCATATGGTTTATCAAGACAAGAGGAACTATGGAAAATTAGCTTTCTCGCAACTATTGGCGAAGGGGGCGCAGCCCACTGGTCTTCATTACCGCAACTTGGCGTCAAAATTCTGGACTTTCGATCAGACACACCCGCGCTTTTGCATTTGTCCCTCCGTCCGTAGCGCCGTCCGGACTCCACGTCTCTATTCGCCGCTTTTCCATGGATTTTAACGCTTTCTACGAGCCACTCAGATTATTGAGTGCGCTATACATCGATTCTAAGCCATCCCCCGCGCGTTTAGTCGCGTTTGAGAAGTGTTACAACCGCTGACGTCGCGCCCTCTCAGGAGAGTGGACGTGGAATGATTGAGGATACAAAATTCCTCTGGCGGTTATACTCGCTAGTTTATTTGCTCTCGGCAAAGTCAGTTTGGTCATGAAGCTCGTTGGCATGAGTGACAGACCCCGCTCTTGGATGAGAGCCGATCACTGTGACTCGTTGGGAATTCCCCCTTTCGAGCTCCCGAGAGATTGTCAAGGAGGCTGTGCAGTGGGAGTATGATGCCAATCCATGTCGATGGAACCACTCACACGACCGAAACCCCCTGCACCCACCATAATCCATGAAAATTTTGCTGAGCTTGCAGATATTGATTGCAAGCTCCAGATCTTTCATAGATGGCTTGGCTGTGACCGTGTTTCTGCCGTGTACTGTTGAGCTGGTACAACTTGGCATTCCTTGCCGCCTCTGTGGGAGAGTCATATCTGGCACACGAAATTTTAAACATAAATCTTATAAACAATTTATGATTATACCATTATCTGATTTTCATTAGCCAGTCTCGGCACCTACACAGCCTCCTTGTTAGATAAAAGAACACACCCTTCCCCATCACCTGTTTTCTGCACATGCCCTTAATTGAGGGATTTCTACCGACTTATACATATTGATGTTAATCTACTTTTCGTTTCTCTCGTCAGCAAATAAGCTCAGCGTATTAGTCGCAGAATGCTGACCCCAAACGAAAATCGTCAAGAGGGGTTTTTGAACCCCTTCGCAGGGAACCCTGCAAACAGAGAGGTAAGTTTTCAAGCCGCTCACTTGATATGTTTGGGTGCATATTAATATAGAGAAAAGCAGTCATCCGTTTCTCCCGGGCCAGGGCAAACAGACGTATCGTTAGCCCACCCATCTTCGCTATCACCAGACATGGCATCGACCCTCAGTCCAAATAGGCTATCAGTCCAGAATGGGCCCCCTCGATCATCACATTCATCATCACCTTCACTTGGCGGTGAAACTTTACGGTCAAGAGCAGACTCAACTATCTCTTGTGCAGATACTGTTGTTAGGTCAAGAGCAAACTCAGCAGCTACCACCACCAAAGCTGTATATGATGACGTCTCAGTGGAAGATGCCTTAAATCCGGATGCTCGAAATGAGGATGATTTCATCGTGCAAGATAATAAGTTTGCCTTCTCACCCGGCCAGCTCAATAAGATGCAAAATCCGAAGTCCCTGGCTGCCTTTCAAGCGCTTGGTGGCTTACATGGCCTGGAACGCGGCTTGCGGACAGATTTGGCAGCTGGATTGTCCATAGATGAGGGTCGCTTAGAAGGCACCATGAGCTTCCAAGAGGCGACGTCTGGGAACGCCCACCCCAAACAACAATTGTCCTCAATCACAGAAACACCTGCATCCGAGACCGACTCACAGTTCCAGGATCGCATACGCATCTTCAGCCAAAACAGACTGCCTGCTCGTAAGTCGACTGGCTTTCTGAAGTTGCTTTGGCTTGCATACAATGATAAAATTATTATCTTGCTTACTATCGCCGCTATTGTATCACTGTCTCTGGGTATCTATGAGACCGTCAGTGAAGGTTCAGGAGTCGACTGGGTCGAAGGAGTTGCTATCTGTGTTGCGATATTGATTGTCACCGTTGTCACAGCCGCCAACGACTGGCAGAAAGAAAGGCAATTTGCCAAGTTGAACAAACGTGTAAGTAAGCCGTCTAAGTGTCTTTGGATTCTTGTCTGACAGTCCTAGAACAACGACAGAGAAGTCAAAGCCGTCCGCTCGGGCAAGGTGTCTATGATTTCAATCTATGATATTACTGTTGGAGACGTTCTCCACCTTGAGCCCGGTGACTCTATCCCTGCTGATGGTGTGCTGATATCTGGTCACGGAATCAAGTGTGACGAGTCTTCTGCCACTGGCGAGTCAGATCAGATGAAGAAAACCGATGGATATGAAGCCTGGCGGCAAATCACAAATGGCACTGCTACGAAGAAACTCGACCCCTTTATGATTTCTGGCGGTAAGGTCCTTGAAGGTGTAGGGACCTTCCTAGTAACGAGCGTCGGACGATACTCAACTTATGGGCGCATCCTGTTGTCGTTGCAGGAGAATAATGATCCGACCCCTTTGCAAGTCAAGCTGGGAAGGCTTGCCAACTGGATCGGCTGGCTGGGCTCTGGGTAAGATGTGCAATCCTTTGCTTGTAGGCAATATGGCTGACCTCTCTAGCGCTGCAATCGTCCTGTTCTTCGCATTGCTTTTTAGATTCATTGCTCAACTCCCGGATAACCCGGGCTCTCCTGCGCACAAGGGAAAGGAATTCGTAGATATTCTCATCGTTGCTGTTACAGTTATTGTCGTCGCCATTCCTGGTGAGTTGTCTATTCCCGCAATGATGCAATAATATGAGTACTGATGAGAAATAGAGGGTCTCCCACTGGCTGTAACTTTGGCACTAGCCTTTGCTACAACACGAATGGTCAAAGAGAACAACCTTGTGCGCGTCTTTCGTGCTTGCGAGACGATGGGAAATGCCACAGTCATTTGCTCCGACAAGACAGGGACTCTAACCCAAAATAAAATGACTGTGGTCGCCGGGACACTGGGGCAAAAGAGCTTCGGACAAGATGACAATTCCAGCTCCTCGGTGACCGCAACTGAAACTTTCAAACAGTTTTCTTCCAGGATGCGTGACCTGCTCGTCAAGAGCATTGCAATTAACTCGACCGCTTTTGAGGAGGAAAGGGAGGGCTCGAAAGAGTTCATCGGGAGTAAAACCGAAGTAGCATTGCTACAACTGGCTAAAGACTACCTCGGAATGGATGTCACTGCTGAACGTGGATCCGCGGAGATAGTTCAACTGATTCCCTTTGATTCCGCCCGCAAGTGTATGGGAGTGGTGTACCGGGAACCTACAGTGGGCTATCGGCTTCTTGTCAAGGGAGCCGCTGAGATTATGGCTGGAGCATGCTCGATGAAGATCGCTGGTACGGATGGCTCTAATGGCATCACTGTTGATCAGTTCACCCAGGAGGACAGTCGGGAGATACTCAACACTATTGAATCCTATGCCAACAAATCTCTACGAACGATCGGGCTGGTCTATCGCGATTTTTCGAACATTTCCAGCTGGCCTCCGAGCTATATCAAGCCCTCTGAGGATGATTCAGATATGGCTCAGTTCGAAGATCTTTTCCGTGACATGACCTGGATTGGCGTTGTGGGTATCCAGGATCCTCTCAGACCCGAAGTTCCTGCAGCTATTGAGAAGTGCCGCACCGCCGGTGTGCAAGTGAAGATGGTCACTGGTGACAACATAGCAACAGCCACCGCCATCGCATCGTCCTGTGGTATTAAGACAGAAGATGGAATTGTCATGGAAGGCCCCAGATTCCGCCAGCTGTCGGATGATGAAATGGACAAGGTGCTTCCACGTCTTCAAGTCCTGGCCCGCTCATCGCCCGAGGATAAGCGGATATTGGTAGCACGACTGAAGCACTTGGGAGAGACTGTGGCGGTAACTGGAGACGGTACCAACGATGGCCCTGCACTGAAGACTGCCGATGTTGGCTTCTCCATGGGTATCGCTGGTACAGAAGTTGCCAAGGAAGCCAGCTCAATCATTCTACTAGATGATAACTTCAGTTCGATTATTACAGCAATCGCATGGGGCAGAGCTGTGAATGATGCCGTGGCCAAATTCCTCCAGTTCCAGATCACGGTCAACATCACTGCTGTCGTTCTAACCTTTGTTTCGTCTCTCTACAGCAATGAGAACCAAAGTGTGTTGAGCGCAGTGCAGCTGCTTTGGGTCAACCTGATCATGGATACCTTTGCAGCCCTCGCTCTTGCAACTGATGCGCCGACGGAGAAAATCCTCCATCGCAAGCCTGCCCCGAAGAGTGCCTCTCTTTTTACTGTGGTCATGTGGAAGATGATCCTCGGACAGGCAGTTTACCAGCTGGCCATAACTTTCATGCTATATTTTGCCGGAAGCCACATTCTCAAGGATCATCTCAGTGCCGATAATGGACAGAAAGAGCTCGCCACCATCGTGTTCAACACTTTCGTGTGGATGCAGATTTTCAATGAGTTCAACAACCGAAGGCTTGACAACAAGTTCAATATCTTCGAAGGAATGTTTAAGAACTACTGGTTCCTCGGAATAAATTGTATCATGGTTGGCGGCCAAGTCATGATCGTTTATGTCGGCGGTGAAGCTTTCGGCGTGACTCCTCTCAACAGCATCCAGTGGGCTGTTTGTATCATCTGTGCGATCGGTTGTCTTCCTTGGGCTGTGGTTCTCCGCCTGATTCCTGACAAGCCGTTCGGGATCGCACTCGACTTTGTTGTCAGAACCATAGCATTAATCTTGCGGCCTATCAGCAAAGCTTTTGAGTTTGTTGGAAAGATGCTCAAGTCTGCTGTGCGACCTGTTAAACGGGTTACCAAGCGGGTATTCAACAAGCGTCAGGAAGAAGACATTGGTAGACCTGATGAAGAGACTGCCGTGTTGACGGATCTGAGACGACAGCAAACCCCCGAGGCGCCAACGACTTCGGCCACAGTGCCTCCGATTACTATCACAACCTCTTGACGAATTCAACATACGATATGACTGTCGCTGTTCTGCCTCGCTGCTACAGAGCAGTTCCTCTGTATAATAGTTAACGAATGTACCACATGCATGGATATTGTATATACATATGCAGTGGCTGGGTGGTATAATGTCTTTTTATGTTGCATAGCGGGCGTTTTGTACTTTTGTTGGTTTATAGATTAGCGCGCCCATGATTTTTGAGATATACTAGATACTCCCATGTAGATAGTTAGCTTGAACCTATTCGAATCTATCACTTGCTTTTCAAACCATGCCTTGAGTTCCTTATCTCATTAGGATTTTCGATCACTGTAGAAATGCCTTCATTCAGTACTATATGCTTCTTGTCTGCTGCGGTTATATATATGAGACAATAGTGAGCAGATGGTAGAGAACTGGCGCTGTACTACTGTTTAAGATGAATACAGTATAGAATCTTCGACACGAACTCTTCAAATAAGTAACCAAAGCAACTTTGTTACCAAAACCGCAGGCGGGTGTGTATATGAAATGATGAGTACTTGGGTATGCTGTATGCTAAGCATAGGTTTATGCCTGAGGCGTCCAGGCCCACCTCCGCACCGCCGCCGCCCACATCATCATCATCTCGAAGACATCGATAGTTTGTAACTTCAACTCTTTGACTTACTCATTTCACTGCGCCCAATTCGACTTGTGCATAAGCCAGGAAGACAGTCAGTGTACCTTACCCCTATTCTCCATTGGACAGGGAGAGCAACAAATTGCTAGACGTCCCGTCTGTCCCTCGTCTCCCCGCTCCGTTAACGTGGGACTGGATAATGACGGTGCCTGACCATGAATTGAACCTAGCTAACATACAAACAAGCTGCCCGCTCAGCCTCACTCAGCCATATCTCTCGCTATACCACAGCAGATTAAACAAAGCTCCCTACTATAAACTAATTACCTCCGAGCCAACTCAACCTCCTGAACCACCCTCCGATCAAACAAAAGTACCCACCATGGCTCAACTAAACTACCGCACAATCAACATCGACGTGTTGGACCCTGAGTCCTCCGTCAACTTCCCCATGGAAACCCTCCTTCCCCCTACCCTCCCTGCCCCGACCACATCCAGCGAAGCCGCAAACGTCGCCGCCCAGGTGCGCCAGCTACTGCGCGGTGGGGACCCCGAGGGAGCGCTGCGCGCTGTCCTCGATACGGCTCCGCTAGGCGGAGATGACCGCGCAAAGGAGGTGCACTTGGCTACCGTTATCGAGGTGCTTCAGGGAATTCGACAGGGCGAGATGACGAGAGTATTGGAGGGGGTTTGTAATGGACAGGGTGGTTCCGAGCGGGCGGACTGCTTGATGAAGTACTTGTATGTTTTTCTTTCTCGCCTTTACGTCCTTTTCTTATGCTGAACGGCATTGTTTGATGGCTCTGGGTCCTGATTGTTATACTAGGTACAAGGGAATGGCGGCCCCTGGGCCTAGCGGCGGCGCGCAATCGCCTCGCAAATCGGTCTCCCCGCAGAGCACCGGATTCTCGCAGATTCAGGCCAGGAACCTTGGTGAAGGTGGCGGTGGTCAGCAGATGAGTGTGCTGTTGAGCTGGCATGAGAAACTGGTAGAGGTGGCGGGCACTGGGTCCATCGTGCGTGTGATGACGGACCGGAGGACGGTGTAATTCGATCGGACTGAGCTCTAGTTTTGAGATAGAGACAAGGGGATAGATAAATGGGTGATTGAGAAATCGTCGATTTCAAATGTTTTTTTCGTTCGTGCTGTGTTTATACTTGGCTGCCTTCGCTTTTCTGCCCCCGCAAATGGGATAATATCCTAGATTCTAACCTTATAGTTTACATACCGAACAACATATAGTTTACAATCCCCCGATCTCATCACCGATTAGAGAAATCACCACCGCCCAGAAGATCCTTCAAATTAACCTCTCCACTACCCCTAGCCAGAGGCTGAGCTTGTCCCTCTCCTTCTTTCCACCCAATCATGTAAATCAATCTGAACGTCGCGGGAATACCTCTCGACCCTTCTTCCTTGTGCAGTTCCCGGTAGATCGCCTCATTGGCGAGCAAAACATCACGCGATATCGGTCCCAACTCCCGGTGCAAGATAGCATTGTTCTCGCCCATCGACTGCAAGTCCTGCATGAGAGCAAACGTATCCGGGTACTCCACCACGATGTCCTCCACATCAACCGTGAGCATCTTGAACCCGGCCTTATTCAGCAATCCACCTACATCACGCACATCCGCCAGTGGTGAAACATGCGGACTCACACCACCCCGTCGCTCCATATCCGCCAGCTGCAATGACGTCCGGAGCTCGAACAATGTATCGCCGCCGAACATAGCCGCAATAAACGGACAATCCGGCTTAAGAATAGAGTTCACTTGCGCTAGCAGCGAGGGCAGGTCGTTAATCCAGTGAATGGAGAGGGAAGACAGGACGGCATCGAACGTGTTCTCCTCGTAAGGAAGGCTCTCGAGGTCGGGGATAACCTCCCGCTTGATGGAAATCTCCTTGTTGAAGGGCTCGTCCGCATCACGGTGGAGAAGGGCTTGCGAGGTGTCGACACAGGTGAGGTTCGAGATGCGGGTTGCGAGGGGAGGTGAGTTTGGGTTGACGGGGTCGATGTCGGGCGTTGTTAAGGCGCGAGCGATATTGCAGCTGTTTGCACCGAGGTCGAGCACATTCGGAATATCTCGTTTTATATCCTAGATGCCACATCGTTAACCATGGAGTTCATATTGATATGGATGTAGCAGTCAAGACGCACTAGTAACCGCTCGCATAGCCGCATGGCTACCTCATCTTTGAGGTAATCTGTCTTCCGGCTCTCTTCAACATTCCCGGCCGCGCGGTCCTTCTGTATATGTTTTACCTTGCGATTGAATATCTCCAGGACGGGGTTGCCGGGCGTTTGGCTGGCGTAGGTTCTGGTGGCTCTGTATGTGAATGTCCGGGGTGAAAACACCGCCGGACGGAAGATGTGGCGGAGAGACATGGCTATGCCTCGGGGGTTCAATTGCACTTTTGGAGCAAGTTAGAGGACCTGGGGCATTGCGGTTATGTGGTTATGAGGGGTGTAAGGTCGAAGAAGTTGCGGCGGAGATTGAAAATGCGGGAAGTTTGCGGCGTGACGTCGGCGGAGCTTTCAAACTGAATTAAATTCCATTCAACTCCGCATTTCGTGCGTTGTCAACATTTCCTTCCCCGCGGGCTTGCGCCCATCATTACGAATCCGAAACTATTATGGGTGTCTGTGAGAAACAATCTTGACCCTATTGGTAAAGATACTGTGGATCTTTTGGTGGCGTATGTACAGATTGTCATTTGTATCTTCCCCTATTGGGGTAATTGTTTCGGGTCGCGCTATGGCTTTTTTTTGGATTTGCGAGGCTAATGCATACAAGCGTAGGGCATGACTTGCTTGACTTTACGTGCTTCAATTTAGTTCCTCAACATGTCGCGTCCTTTCCCTTACGCCTACATTTCTTGTCCATGTGCCGACACCCCTGTTCCCGACCCAGCCAGGAAGCGGAGATCAAGAGAGACTTCCCACAAGGCCAATCCGGAGGCCCCCAATGCTCCAGTTCCTCAGGATTATGACTTTGAAGATGAACGCACGTTCGACCCGCGATCTCCCCGGTCCAACTTTTCTTTGTACCCGCCAGAGCAACTACTATACTGCGAGGACTGCCATCAGATTAAGTGTCCCCGATGTATAACAGAGGAGATTGTATGCTGGTATTGCCCTAACTGTCTGTTTGAGACACCGAGTAGCATGGTTCGGAGCGAGGGAAATCGGTAGGTCGTGTTTTTCTTCTTTTTTTTTTTTATAGGAGTGTACTCGGTCACCTTACCAGATGATTGCTAAACAAGGGTCATTATAGATGCGCCAGGAACTGCTTCAATTGCCCCATATGCACTGCTCCACTCGCGGTTACTACATTGGAGAATGTCACCGGAGGTGGAAGTCAACAGGGGCCGTGGGTACTATCATGCGGCTATTGCATGTGGACAACTCTAGACATCGGCGTCAAGTTCGATAAGCCCACCAACATCCGCACGCAGTTGTCCAAGATGACGGATTCTTCCCGGGGAAGACAGATGTCCAAGACCTTCAGTGACCTCAAGTCCCCACTATCCACGTATTCTTCGATTGACGATCACTTTCCATCGCCTAGCGAGATGAGAGCGGATGAGACCAACCCGGCCAACGAGCAACCCTCAGGGCCATTGAATCCAGAGGCGCGATTCCAGGCACTGAAGGGTTTCTACAAGAGTCAGATAGCATCAACCTCCTCATCACCTAACGACCCCCTGGCTGATTTCGGAGCGGGATTCTCTTCCCCGGGGGCCCTGAACCGCATCATGTCCCTCTACACCTCATCATCCCGTCTCGGCAATCTCTATGGCGGTACCAACAAAAAACCGAAATCCAAACCGCCAGTCATGCGAGAAGCTCTCACAACCAGCGAAGGACTAAGGGTGCCGGCGCCCGACGCAGAAAACGCACTAATCCGACGCATGGCCTCCGACGACTGTGGATGGGACGGAATGGCTTCCATCGAACAGCGTACATTCCAATCCCCCGACGCACGGTTCGTAGAAGACCTCCTCCCGCTGCCGGTGCTACTTCGCACGAAACGGTCGAAACGTTGCAAGTCGTGCAAGCATATCCTTGTCAAACCCGAGTTCAAACCGCAATCGACTCGGTTCCGCATCCGTCTCATCGCCCTCAGCTACATCCCCTTGCCAACCCTCAAACCCCTAGTTCCCAGCCCCTTTGCGGGACTTCCGTCCGTCCCACCCGCCGCGGCGCCAAACCTGGACGCCCTATCACCGCTGAAAACCGTGCAGCTCCTGCTCACCCTAAAGAATCACATGTTTGACCCGGTGCGGGTGACACTCGCCACGCCGTCGGTGACACCCGGGCGCGTGGCCTCAAAAGTCACCATCCTGTGTCCGCAATTCGACATCGGCGCTAACAGCGACGTGTGGGACGAGGCCCTGCAGGGTTCGACCGCTCCGGGTGATGCGCGCGCCTCCCGATCCGGCACCCTAGGCTCCACCGAGAAAGTCGCAGAGGCCGGGAAAGTGTGGGATAAGGGACGTAACTGGACCACCGTCGTCCTGGAAGTCGTACCCGGGACATTACCCGGCGGCAGTACCACAGGACGTAACCGCATGAAACAGCATGATGATGACAACGACGATGATAACGATGACTCCGATGTCGACTCCGACGGCAATGCCAATGCCCTGGATTGGAGCGGACAAACTAAGGACCCTAACCAACTGCTTCAGCCGGACGAAGATATCCTGGAGATCCCTGTCTTTGTGCGCATGGAGTGGGACTCCGAGAACCAGATCGACCAGGAGCAGTCGGTTGGTAAGGGACAAAATTCAGACACGGTCAAGAGGGAATTGGCGTATTGGATGGTGTTGGGGGTAGGGAGGATTAGTCCGGAGATGGGATTTTAGAATATTGGTGGTTCTCATGCTGCTTGATAGATGTCTTTTCTTTTAATTACATACATACCCTTATTGTTCGGATATTCTGGATGAAACTCGAGCCTTTGGTGTCCTGAACCTCATTCAATATATAAATGTATACCTATATGTATATCCCTACGGAAATACAGATCCAGCAGAAGACGTGTAGGGAATACGAACTAAATGCTACTAAACAATAAGCTTAATCGGGACAAGAGAAATTGGCCACGTGCGCAGAACCCAAATGAACATCTACATGAACTACGGGGACGGAGCCGGAAGAATAAAATCTGGGGAATATGCGCGGACAAGAAGAAGAAAAAAAAAAGGAAAAGGAAATAAGAAATATTTTTTGTTTTTCAACCACGCCGAACAACAGGAAAAGCCCGGACCAAAAGATCATGAATGATATTATCACATCACATCACATCCTCTTTTTCATTAGGGAACCCTAAACCCGAAGGACCAGATCAAGAAGCTACCCACCACCGCACAGCGCACGCTGACGCAATGCACAACAAGATATTGCCGTTCCTCCTCGTCCCAAGTGTTTCCTTTTTTTTTCTTGTCTACTTCAAGAAAGAGAAAAAAAGACGTAAGCCCGCGTTCTTGTTCTCGAAAATCCCAGACTTATTTTTCTCTCATTGGCCTAATCACAGGAAAAATATAGAAGACTTTAAAAGGACATAAGGGAGAAAAATTGGCATCTAGAAGTCAGAGGCGCTGCTCTGGGGGAACTCGAAGACGACGTTGCGGCCGGTCAAACGGCGGTAGACCTCGCCGTAGGCATCGAGACGGTGGTCAACACCACCACGCTCCTTCTCATCCAGGATGACCTTGAGGGTCTTGCTGCCGTCCTCCTTGGTGCGGATGCGCTTGCCGACGATCTCAACGGGGTAGACCAGGTCGCCGAGGATGGCGTCGTGGACAGCAGTCAGAGTGCGGGAACGGGGACGCTTCTGCTTCTGGTTGGTGCGGGAGTTGACAGAGCGCTTGGGCTTGGGCAGGATGCGGCGCTGAGCAACGAAGAGGACGTGGCGGTCGGAGAACTTCTTCTCGAGCTCACGGGTCAGGCTATTTCGGGAAGTGTTAGTCTCGGAAGATATCTCAATCTAGAAGAACCAGGTTCTGGATGTGTGTTCGTACCGCTGCTGGATCTTGTGGAAGCCCTGGAGGAGAGGGACAGGGACGAAGATGATGACAGCCTTCTTGCCGTGGCCGACCTCAACCTGTAATGATATAAATCGTCAGATCAACTTTTGCGGGATAAGATTATTCAATTGCGCATCTGTAATTTTTGCAGGTGCAGGCCATTTTCGTGTAGAATCAGAAATTGTTTCTCTGGTCGCCCCCTCTTTCATTCCAGCCCAGTGATGGACACACAATCATCCTCCATCTGGATTGTACCGCCAGCTGACGCACCAAGCACACATGGCTTGATTCCACCATAAATCCCTTCCCATCGCAACAAATATCTCTCCTTCCCACAAACGACCAGAGACAAAGTCTGACGCTGCAACGTGCGGTGCCAAATAGATCGGGCAGATCTTACCTCACGGGCAGAGACGAACTGCAGAGGACGAAGGGTGGCCTTCAGGTCCTGTGTGTTGCTCTCCAAGTCGAAGAGAGCGCCGGCGATCGCGTTCTCCAGCTCGGAGGGGTTCTGCCTCGAGGGCGAGTTGAGGGCGATCTTGTTGATAGCAGCCATTTTTGCAGACGAGCGACGGATAGCGGGCTGTGCTGCTGGTGCTGCCTTTCCTTGTCGCGGGTTGTTGGGGGTCGTGGGAATAAATTCGAGGATTGAAACAGAGGTCCGTCCAGCATCCAATTCTGCTCCGGTTGGTGTGGGATCGGAGGCTCGGCGCCTCGCTTAGCGACACGGCGCTTGCCCACCCTAGGTTAGCGCATTGCCCTCCTAGGGAAAGCCCGGTCCCGTGACCGCTCTGCCCTCGATATCAGGAACATCAAAAGAACGCTTATCTCCTATCAGTTATTATCGTCTATGATATTACTAGAACATAGGCTCCATAGAAAACTATCCTCTACTTGGTACAGATGCTCAATGGCATCTCACCCCATCTGTGATAGCAGGAGGTAACTGAAAATATGGTTAAAGAAAATAACCCTTCACACGGTGAGAATACCGAATTCCTACCAGTGCAACATCCGGGGAAACCTATACATAATGATAAAGACAAAAACCTCTCGCTGAGTGTCAGAGAATCTGGGGGGTTTAAAAAAACAGAAACAGAACAGAAATGAAAAGGCACCAAGATCCGGGATGAAGCACAAACATAAACGAAAACACAGGTTGACGCCGGGATATGAGAAACTACAATGATGACACGCCATGCCTTCAAACCGCCCTTGGTGCGGCACTGTCCCAAACATCCTAGGTAATTACTCTGTAATCAAACCTAGTCACGAGATTGCTGCATGGAAGAACAAACATTACGGACTGTAGAGCAGACACACAGCCGGAATTAACAAGCACAACCTTCTTTGGCAGTGGCAGTAGACCGGTCTCCCAGGTTGACTCGCGAGTCCTCCGCCGGACGGCCAGCTCCCAAAGTAGTCTGGCCCGTACCGGCGCCAGCTCCGCGTCCACTCTTCAAACTGCTCTCTGGAATAGCATTGGCAATGGCAGTGAAGACCTCCACAACGTTCACACCCGTCTTAGCGCTAGTCTCGAAGAACAGTAGGCCTTCTTCGTCCGCATATGAACTAGCCTCCCGTGTCGAGACCTTCCGGGCATCTCCGGGAGTGGCATATTGCTCCTCCTGAGGTTCACCAGCCGCGTCATCTTCGTCAGCAGTAGCAGCAGGGGGTTGCTGTTCGCCATCCACCTGTGACTCCCCAGAAGCTTCGTTCCCGTCGTTGGTCAAGTCCAGCTTATTGCCGACGAGGGCGATCACAATCCCAGGGCTGGCTTGCCGCTGTAGTTCGGCGACCCAGTGTTTGGCCTTTGTAAGGGAAGGTGGTTTGGTAACATCGTAGACTACCAGCGCCGCCTGAGCGTTACGGTAGTACATGGGGGCAAGCGAGGCGAACCGCTCCTGACCGGCTGTATCCCAGATTTCGAACTTGATCGTCCGGGTCGGGAGGGAGCATTTTTGAGTCAAGAAGGCAGCTGGAGGCACGTTAGCACCGGGAAGAGGTTGCATCCAATGCCGCTCAAAATTCGACAAGTTTGGGTCTCCTACCTCCAATAGTCGGCTCTTTGTTTTCTTGAAAGTCATTGTTGACAAATCGCAGAACTAGCGATGACTATTCACGGCCATCCATTCATCCATTTGTCAGTCTTCCAGGTTACCCGTGTACAACGGCAAGAGGCGAAGGGAATCAACCGAGGCCGTACCTTTCCAACCGCCGCCTCGCCCAAAAGTACCAGCTTCACGCTACTACTCGGCTTCGGAGTATTTGTGCTAGTTGACTCAGACATGGCAGCAGAGCCCAACGGATGGGTGGCTATACACGATTAGGTTGATTTGCAGGGACGGGACGCCAGCACGGGCGGGAATTATCAATCTCGTCGATGATTTCAGCTCGCCAGGGGCGGGTAAGGTCGACAAGAACTTAGAGAGCGGTAAGTAATCAGGGTAGCCTGAAGGAAACGTCAGCCCCGGGGACACGAGAGAGAGCCTAAGTTGGAGACCTGAGCAAGGGTTGCGAAGGGGGAAAAAAAAAATAGACAAATAGAAATCCAGGATCACCAACGTATTGCACCAATACCAGGAGAAAATAGCGGTGGACACAAGTGCACAGTCGCAAGGTACTAGGAAAGATCGATACCCAGTGAGGCGGAGGGAATTAAACGGTCGTCACTTTAGATGATGGAGAGGTCGCCCCAATCCGGTCTAGCGGGTCACCTCCAGCACGGTGGCAGTCACGGGATGTTTCCGTCCTGACGGATTTCGAATCTACTCACTGGCATTCTGTACTTCCAGCGGGTAACCCCGGACGGCAAATATTATTTCCTCCCCCTCCAATCCTTCATTGAAACCACAATACATGATCTGTGTCGCCCTCTTCTCTCCCTGTTTTTATTTTCTCATTCACCCCATGGTTCCAACTCATCAACTTGATTGTACAGAATCCATGTCCAGTTCAATGGATGGTGAGACATATCAACTTCCAACTGGCGAAACAGTACCCAACTCTCAATCTCCTATGATTGGTAGGAGATGAACCTGGTCAACGCTAGTCTGGCTACTGTCTTTGAGGCATGCTGTCAACAATGACAACATATCATGCAGGCTAGGCATGACGTGCCAGTGTCCACCAACGAGGGTGATCGCCAGGGAGTTGGGAACCATTTCCAATGACGCCCAGCCCACTGGCGCGGACAACGTTGCACAGCATGATTTGTGCAGATCCCCGGGCCGTAGGCTGTAGCTGCCCAAAATACAAACCACAATAATCATAAGAATAATAATCCTCATACTAATTGATTAGCACATTCAATGGGGGCTCGAACACCCTTGATGTTTGCACCAGTACCCACCAAGATAATGCGCTGCTTACAAGAATTTCAGCAAATCAGACTGCTGATACTCAGTGTGCCGCCGCAGCCAGGCCCCCGGGGGATAATCAACCCACAGCCGTGTCATGGCCTGTGACTCGTTCACAATAGAATTGAGGCTTGTACCAAACGTCATCAGGTGTTCAATGAGTGAAGAAAGGAAAGTAAACAACGAGCAGAAGGTTGGAGAAGGCACGCCTGTTTCCATTCTTAAGATGTGCTTGTAATATGATACACATGCACTCAGGACACATACACAAAAGTCCCAGTGACACTTGAACGAATAGAGAAATTAGCAAGAAAACGAAGAGAAAAACGGAATGTTTGACCGCGAGGTCGCAAGCTCTAATGTTGGTATCAACCCATGTATCCCAAAAAAAACCATCCTGTCTATGTCAAACGCCGAACAAATCCAAAACCCGAAGATAATAGCGAGGTAAAAAAACAAAAACAAAAAAAAAACGGAAAAAGCACTTTTGATGAACAGATCGTGGACCTGCGCTGGTTCATATCGATGGTGAAATTAAAGTTGTAAAGTAAAAGGATCGAGGTCGAAGGTCAAAATGGCAGCAGCCATGAGTCGGAAAGTGGTAGCGAATGTGACCTTGAAGAGGCGTATTAAAAAGGTTATAGACCCGAAACCAAAAAGGCGAATAACGAAGCGAATAGAGTAATGAAACATAGTGTTACAGAAACTATGACATCCCGTTAGCCCTGAAACCGACAAGCAGTTGAGATTTGGGGGGAAATTCCACTTACAATGAAGATCGACTTCATCGACACGTGAACTCCGCAGACCATGGCGCCAATAGAACCACAAACTTTTCGCTCGAAACAATAACATCATGGATGTGCTTAACCAATGCCTCTATGGCATTTAGCTGGACTGATCGGACTCGTCTGTTTGGACGCCGGTAGTATCGTATCCTCCTCGTCCCATGGTCACAGCTCGAATATCACGAATTTTCATAAAACTCTTTGAAACGATGGTCAGACGTTGCGTTCTCACTGCGATCGAATTTGGGACCAAGGATGGGAGAAGATTTGTGGGAAGGAGTACTCACTCAAAGGATTAAATAATGACAAGGCGTGCCTTGTGGCCCGTAATCTCCAATAAATAGAGCAATAAAAAGCCGGTGGTAAATATTGATGTGCGGGTCTGATTATTGATCGATTATAGCGTCAAGCGAGGTACCCAAAAAATCCCAGACAAAAGGCAGGCGGTATTAATGCAGACAACAGATGATGCAGCTGCAGTTGAGATCGGAAAGGTGATCCTTTTAAGAATGCTCAATCCTCTGGCGCTGGGCAAAAATAGGCAGGGCAATGCAGCACAGACAGCGCCGACAAGTAAGTAGTAGATCTGTAAGGCAGGAATGTGACGCCGCTAAGATGACCAAGTAAATGGACTGGAAGAATGAGGAAGAGTGGAGCCCCAATCAGAGTCGATAGGTCGAATTTTATTTTTCTATGCTTTTCCTTTTCCTTTTTTTTCTTTTCCCGCTCGAGCGCTTGCGACGTTGTTTATTGTGAATTGTCCTGGTATCTTTTCGAATCGATGACAAACTGGCGCGTAGCAGGGAGGTGCTGGATAAATATTGAATCAAGCAATCTGATCAAACCCCGACCCAAGGAGTCAAAATAGATAAGACTATGCAGCCAGCAAGGAGGTCGTCCTAGCGATTAAAGAGTGCCACGGAAGTAGAGCTCCGTCTAGTTCGGCGATAACCAAAGATCGGACGAGGGATAGGATAGGGCGTTCGTTGGTAACGTCACAAAAGATGAGAGGACGTAAGACGAAGAGGACAGGGGCGAAAGTACGAAGAGAGGGAGGAGGGAGGAGTACAGGGAGAGAGTTCCTTATATAATTAAGGAATGATGGAGTGAAGCGAAAACTTGAAGGGGGGTTTCCGTTATATGTAGTACTCTCCCGCAATGGCCTCAATTTCTCCATCAGTTATTATTATTTTTTTCCCTTTTCAAAAAAAGAAACGAAGAAAAAAA